CCCGGGATATCAGTGTGGATTGGTGGGAGCAGCTCGTTCTGCAGAGCTGGAATAACCAGCAGCAGCGCGAGAACTTCAGGATGGGGAGGGCTACCTTTTTTGAGATCTGTGCATAACTGACCACAAAACTGCAACGACAACATACGAACAATACAGTCCGCCATCGCCGTGGAGAAACCGTCACCATTGCCATCTGGAAACTGGGCACCCCAGAATGTTTCCAGTCTGTAGCCAATTTTGGGGAGATCAGCTGTTTGGGCCATTCTCATATAGGTCTGTTATGCCATTCACAAGGTGCTGTCTAACTAGATCATGAAGCTGTTAATACTCAGGAGATTGTTGATAGCTTTGCATTGCATGGAATTCCCAAACTGTATTGGGACAAATGAGGGAATTCAGGTGCCTATCATTTACCCTCTCTCCCTTCCCCTAGCCTTCTCCCCCAGCCAGGGCATAGAATTTATAAACAGAAAGGGGTATTTTTCAATGGTGCTCCAAGGACTGGTGGACCACCATGGCAGGTTTACAGACACATATGCAGCATGGTCTAGGAGGGTCCATGATGGCAGGATCTTTCAGAACTCAGTACTTTTTAAATTAATGGTGAACGGACTGTTTGCACTGTGGACATTAATGGTGTGGAGGTTGGTCCAGTTATTCTGGGAGACGTGGCTTATCCCCTGTTGCTTAGCTAATGAAGCCATAGACAGGCCACTTTGACAGAGGGAAGGAACATTTTAACTATGGTCTGAGTATTCATAGAATGGTAGTCAAGTGGGAATTTGCCTGTTTGTGTTAGGAACCAGAATTTAGGTGGTCTGGCCTAGTGGACACGGCAGGTATCCAGATCAACTCTCTATGTCTCTGCTGCTGCCTGGTTGGTTACTTCCAGTTTCACATGGTGTCTGGTTGACTGGTCAGTCCATAACTCTAGTGTTCGTATCTTTGAGGTTCTGCTGTACTGAGATGGGAGACTAGGAAGCAGAGAAAGGTCTTATTCAAAAAGGGAAAGGGTAGACCAGCTTGATACTCTGTGAAGTTATGGTCCCCCCAGAACCACTGTAGAAGTAGAAGGGGCTTGCAAGCTGTACCAGCGGCATAGGGCATCCAGCCATTCCCTGTAACATGTGAAACAAAACAGCTATTTCTTAGTCTTAGGTCCTGCTATATCTCCCCTGCAGACTTTGACGAAAGTACAGAGAAAAACAAATAGGATCCTACCATGTTTATCAGCTCCAATGCGTGTTACGGGGCTTTTGTACCTCAGCCGAGAGCAATATAGTTTGTGCCTTGCCAGGGCCTGCAGTGTGCACTCATATCTCACGTAAACTACAAAAACCAACCATATTTCTTTTCCTCTAAGGCCTGTCTCAATAAATGTTGAATATTGCACAAATGAATGCTTCAGTTATTCAAATTTGTTGTGGGAGGAAGGGTGTGGGGAGAGGCACAGACTGCAGCTGCCACTTGGAAGCAGCAAAAGGACTGAGTTAGGAGGGAGGTGGGAGCTCCTAGTTCACCTCCGCCAACAATAATAATATACAATATATGGTAAATATAGGTAATTACATGCCAAAGTTCCCTCCAGGAGATCAGATTCTTCAGTTCTGGCCTGGGTTTCTGGCTGGGACTCGTGTTCAGCCGATGCAGGGCAGGAATTGAGGTCAGTAGTAGCAGGGCCAGACAGGGGCTGGCTTTCCAGCTGGCCATCGTCCGGTTCCTGGGTCCCAAATGGATCCTAGCTCTCAGGGGGCAGCTCCTTTCAGGCATCCTCCTGCTCAGCCTCCAGTGGGTCTAGCTGGCCGTCCTCTGGTTGAACTGTAATTATGTAAAATCCTGTCCAGTTAATCAAAAAATTGACAGGTCCCACGTCCTTTACTCGATTGTCTCCTTTTATCCCTTGTTTCAATGTACTTTCTCCTGAGCTGCTTATTCTTTATCCAGCACTGGTCAGTGTCCCAGTAGTGACCCCTCGCAGACATCTGCTTTGGAATGTCCACAAAAAGGTCCTTATTCTTGTGGCTGGCCGCAAGAGCTTCCTGAACCAACGCTTCTCCCCAGATGGTGATGAGATCCAGGGTCTCAGCGCGGCTTCAAGCAGTTGCACGAGGCATGTCCTGAGGCTTCTGGTGTGCAATTGTGATTGTATTGCCAGAATAATGATACACTGGGATGCAGGAGCAAATGGGCAAAATATGGCTCTGTACCACTTTTTAAAGGAGGGAAGCATCATTCTGGACATTTGACACAAGGGGATGGAGGGCACACCAGTTACTAATAGGGACATGTTAGTAACAGTCAACCTGCAAAGCACCGTAAGATTGGAGGCATGCAAAAAGTGGTGTGCAACAATTGTGTGCACACACACAAAAGACTAAACTAGACCAAACTAGTAAAATTTTGATTCCCTAAATTGATATGTAGTTATTAATTATATTAATTAATAAATTTTCAGCATTGGCAATCTGCTATTTTGTTCCTCAGTAACTGATTGAGATTTTTCTAATTAATTTAGTTATCAAAAGTTCTAACTGGGAGTTTTTTGGCACAATGTGTTTATTTGAAAAAATCGTCTTTGCATAATACAATTACAGATTTCATCTTCATAATATCAGTTTGTTTTAAGAGGACTTCTTTAGACCTTGATGTCATTCCAGAGATACCTCTCAGCTTTTTGTCAGCAGTAAATGGCACCGAGCAAAGCCAAAACTGGGATATGAATCAGGAAAGTTGGCAAAGCAGATGGAGCTTTTCTTGTGTTCAAATCGTATATCAGATTTTGCAATGATAGTGTGAGCAAATTGTGGTAATGTAAATGGTTTAACTTTTAAGTTCTCATTTTCCCTTAAAGTGCCATGAGGGGACTAATCAAACTAATGTTATGTATAGGTCAAAACTGACAGGCTTTTCTTAATGGTTGGTTGCAGTTGACAGTGGATAGTATTTATTAATAGTACCTGCAATAATTTGTCAATTGAATGGAGGGCTTCGAGATTTTCTTAGCAGAAAAGGATAGCTCTTTGCAGGAGAATTTTCTTCAAATAATCACTGTCATAGGTTCAGTGTGCATGAATTTTTCAGTGAAATAATATTGTTTATGTAATAGATTGCCATTGGGTAAAAATGTGGAGGGATACTTTACAAGCAAAGCAGTATCTCATTTAAAGACCCAGATGTTTTCTTACTTTATAGCTTTGAAATGTCCAAATGGGGGTAATTTATTAAAATGTTTAAAGCCATTTTAAACAAATGTCTCCTATCTGGGCATTATAGCTCCAGAAGGCCACTTACTGTAGGTTTCTTTATAATTCTTTAACTATCCATGTGGGCCCTTACCTCCAGCTCAGTTGGGATTTCTGGCATCATCATGCTTATGTATTTATTTACTTCCAGAGTGCCTTAGATTTATTGTTTCTTTGTTGTGCACTGTGCTCCTAATATGGTATAAAAGTATTTTGTGCTTTTTGTCTAGTGATTTTTTTTCTAATTGTAGTCATAATATTTTGGTCAATTACTTCATGTCTTCACCAGTTGATAATAGGAGATTGATTAGTTGGTCTCTGTTCCCAAAATGAGGTGCTGATTCAATGACTGGTTTACTTGATTTTATTCCACTTTGAAAGATATGGCCAATACCAAGGTCTCTAGAAGCATGTACAATTTTTAAAAGTATTAAATAATTAACCCTGACCTAAGTTTTAAAATAATCACTGAAAAAAATAAACAAAGAGCCACCCCTCACTCAGCTCTCAACTCTGATCAAAAGCCTGAGAAAAGATGTAAGCTTTACACCATATCCTGAATGTCAGCTGTCTTGGTGATAGCCAATTCCAGAGTCCAAGGCCTTCCAGCGAGAACATCTTCCTGCAGACAAGCAATTCTAAGGATTTTTAGCTCATGTGTCTCGACTGTGATAATGGTACACAGAGAGGAGCTTTCTCAGTGAGCCATAACCCAGGTTACATAGGACTTCATAGATCAATATCAGGCCAAATAGTAACAAATAATACTTAGCACTTCTATAGCACTTTTCATCCATAGATCTCAAGGTGCTGAATAAACATGGGGAAACATTATGGACCTCTGTTTTACACAGGGCCGGCTCCAGGCACCAGGCAACCAAGCACATGCTTGGGGCGGCACCTGGTAAGGGGCGGCCAATCTTGGGGTGGCGGGGGGCAGCGCGGCACGGCGTGGCATCCCGCGGGGGGGGGCGCTCTGGCGGCGCTCGGCGGGGGGGCGGGCTCCAGCGGTGCGGCGCTCGGCGGGGGGGCGGCGCGGGGCACGGCACTCGGGGGGGGTTCCAGCGGCGCGGCGCTCGGTGGGGGGGGTTCGGGGGGCAGCGCTTTTTTTTGCTGCTTGGGGCAGCAAAAAAGTTAGAGCCGGCCCTGATTTCACAGATGTCAAACTGAAGCAACAGAGTTTGAGGCAGGTATTTTTAAAAGTGTCCATTAATTTTGGGTGTCACAATTTTTAAGAGTCCACCTTGAAACACTTAGGAGCTGATTTTCAGATTTGCTGAGCACCCACAACTCCCACTGGAGTTAGTCACTATCTCTACCATCTTCTCAGGATGCTTTCCCTGGCCGCTGAGCAAGCACCTCTTCACTTGTCTGGACTGAACTGCAGCCAGGTTACTCACATACAAGCCCCTGTTTTAACCAGGGAAAGCAAATAAACCATACGCATCTGGATTTGAGGAAAAAGAAACAGAACTACATGTCATCTGCATGCTTATAACAGTATAGATCAAACAAGTTGTTACTATATAGTGAAGTTTTATTCCAAATAAATTAATGCTGTTGTTGACTGTTCCACAAATAATTTTGCTAATGCTGTGCTTAAAAGTTAAATGTGATTGTGAATATATAGCTTTCATTGCAATATATTTTAACATTTTGCAATTACAATTCCAGGGATTTTTTTTGTAAAGAGCTTTTTTGTTTTTACATAGAAAGCTGAATAGACAACAGTTAATGTATTTTTGTCTGCCTTTTCAGAATTAGAGATCAGCGGTTTGAGAAGGTTTCATATTTTGTGTTTGGAGATTTCAACTTTCGACTGGATTCCAAATCAGTAGTAGAGGTAGGACTTCTCCTTTCTTCATCTCTGGGCGCTATCTAAGGGTTTTCATTTCTAAAATTGTTTCCCTTTGGAGAGAAAAACAGAAAATAACTTAACAGGCAATTTTAATGATGATATCAAACTTGCCAAGGAATACTTTTAGGGGCTTTCAACATGAACATCTAACAGGTAACTCAAAATTGTTATTGAAAGTATCTGATTAAATAATAAAGTAACATCACTGAGCTAACAAGAGGTACTAAAGATTTTCAGTCGCCCAAGAATACAATTGTATTATGGTAATCAAACCCCTTGGAACAGAAAGGTTGTTATTTATGCCATTATTGTGAGAAAACCAGGTTGTTTTTGTCCAGAAAGGCATTGAAGGTTCAAGAGGCTATAGTGCTAGGATTCGCATTTCTGAGGATCAAGAGGACTCGTTTGCTCCTTGTAGTATGTTCATTTGCCAGCCAGTGATTCTCTCAGTTCAGGGAGTTTTAAAATGGACCTCAAACAAGATGAATTTACTATAATCACTATGGGCCAGATCATGGCAATTCCACTTCCACTGGAGCAAGGCCCCAAATGTAGCTGATGTTGTCAGATGCTACCGGTGTGGTGCTCTGGTTGCTTCTATGTTGATGTCACTCGGCTGCGTGCGTGTGTTCCCTCTGTGTGCGGTCCCAGCTCTGCAGATAGCTGACACAGCAAACCCGACGAGAACCCCCAATAACCACAGAGTCTAGTAAGGTACAAAGGCACCTCGGCCAGGTTTATTGCGACCCTGACACAATTTCAGTTCCCCGTAGATTACTTAGTCTACCGGGCATACTGCTAGAAAGTGCCGCTCGGCAATGGACTCAGCTCAGTGGCGGGACTTTCCACTGCCCCCTCAGCCGGACAAAGACACCACCCCAGGGATACATTTTTATACACAGGTACAAACAAGTTACACATCACTCCTGACGTATTGAGGTGCAACCCCTCTACGCAGCAAGGTACAACCCTTCTACGTAGTAAGGTGCCGCCTCTCACCTTGTACATGTTGGTTCGATCTATCCATCATTTTACCCTTTTGCCCCTGTCATTGGGATGGGTCGGCCTGTTCCATGTTATCTGTGGAATGTTCCAGGAGTGTTTTAATATCTAGTGTTCAGTACTTTTTAGGTATGTATCTTTTTGCAGCATCAGCCCTTTCCTTGCCAGCTTCTGTGAGCAGGGCCTGCCTCTGGCTCACAGCTTAACTTTGCTTTATGTTAGCAAAGTCTTGACCATTACTTTAGTTCAGGCCTTAGGCCTCATACCAGGCCTCTGATACCAAGGTTTATCTCTCAGGGCCTCCTCTTACTACAGCTGAAACACTACATTTCTATTGTGTGGGGGAGCATACTGTAAAGAGCACATGCAGAGGGACTGCACTGCAGACTATTGCTCTGTGATTGTCTTCTTTACTGGACAGCAGGAATTGTGTGTGTCCCTAGGGGGAATTGTAAGTGTGATCAGTGGGACTCATATTTTGACCAAAGGGGCTGCAGGATGGAGGGGGAGGTTTCTGTTCCCTAAACTGCTGCTTAGATCCTTTGTGCAAAGTACTTTCAGCTGGGCTTTGTGCATGAGACCAAAATTTCATTTTAAGCTTGTGTCTGTTGTTATTGCTATACCTCATCAAGACTAATTCCTATTTGGTTTTATTTTTTTAAGCTAAATACATGTTGTTTTGCATGTGTAACTAATGAGGAAAATGATATAACGCTAGAGATATTTCGTAAACTTCTATGATAGAATTCCACAAAAACCACAAACTCTGTGAAAATATTAATAGCTGACATTTATGCAAACTTTTGTGATATGAGCACCTCAACATGGAAATATGAACAGAAGATTTGTCTGAAGTCAATGGGAATACAATAAACCTTTTTCACGAGTTGAGATTACCTTGATTTACCTGGAGCTGGGCTTTAGCAGTAATCCCAGGCTTAACAACTATTTTATTCTCCTGTTTACCCTCTTTAATTCTCAGAGGTATTTTAGTGTCTCTTTGGCATCCTGGAGGGCAAGTATGCATCTTCTAATCCAGGGGTTCTCAACCTTTTTCTTTCTGAGACCCCCTAACATGCTATAAAAACTCCATGGCCCACCTGTGCCACAACAATTGTTTTCTGCATATAAAAGCCAGGGTTTGCATTAAGGGGCCCTACAAAGCTAAACTGCTCAGGCTTCAGCTTTAGTCCCAGATGGCGGGGCACAGGGCAGCGTGGCTTTGGCTTTCTGCCTGGGCCCCAATGAGTCTAAAGGCTTCCTGCTTGGCGGACCCCCCTGAAACCTGCTCAGGGGGCCTCAGACCCCTGGTTGAGAACTGCCGTTCTAACCCAAAGGTTGATACTTCTTTGTTGTTTAAGCAGCAGGAAGCACTGTGTCTGTATGCTCAAAGGCAAAGTACCTTTGCCTAGAGATGCAATGCATCCCCCATTCCTCATGTGATTAGTCCCTACTCTGCTGAAAAATCAGGGTGTGTCACATGGCAGCACAGTATAGACAGGTGGAGTTTAGATAAACCTTCATCTTTTTATTCACTGCAATCGTTTTTAACTGTAGTTAAATGTTTCAATTAAAGTGTAATTGGAGTGAAATGCAAGGACTGATTCAGAATATGCAGTTTTGTATTGTCTATGTTAAGGATCACATCTTTGTCTGTTACATTGGTACTACCCCAGTAACTTCCATATTTACAGAAAGAAGAAGTAGGCTATAGAATAATCTATTTTGGAATAGTCTATGCTATTTTTTTACTTTGCTCAGGATACACTAATGTAACTGAGAGCACTTGTATATGAGAAAAATCTGTCAATCAATCTTCAGCAGTACTGTTTATAGGACTTTATCCTGTGAGGTGCTGAGTACTCTGAGCTTCTACTGTTGTCAGTGTAATCAGTCAGGATTGAGCCCATAATGAATACTTTCTTAATTTGCTGATTTTTATTAAGATTTTAATTAATGTAACTACATTTGGATTCAATTAGAAATATTGCCAATAGCTCACAATTTTTCCATAAGTATGCATGTGTATATTAGATACAAATATTCTATTTCTTTATATGGTGCCATCTACTTATAAGATATGAAAACTTATCAAAATCCACTCTTTAAAGAAGTAATTAGAAAAAAGGCTGAAGTTTTAATAGCTAGACATATGTATATGATTTCTATGCCTTGTTTCTTTTCCTTTTTAACTAAAGTGGAATTGGATTTTTTTTCCTTTCAAAATGTATTTCTGTGTCAGTATGAGAAACCCAGGTTCAAGAGTGAAGCCTAGATCTAGCAGACTGTAGTCTACCTGCTGCCCTTCTATTGCCCCAGCATCTGTCATGTATGGAATTATCCATGCGGAATATTGTGTTCCTATTTATCCTCTTTTTGAATATCTACAGAGATGGAACTTCCACAAATAATCTTGCTAGGATATTCATCATCTACACTTCTTCCTGCAAAGTGTTTTTTTCAAACATCAGATCTCAAAAGAGGGAATTATTATTTAGCATTAGAGTACAGAATTGGTAGTCAGGACTGCTAGGGTGAAATCCTGGTCCTCGGAGTCTTTGGTAGAATGGCACTAAGTGGATATGAAGTGTAATTTATCATTATTCTAGCTGATAATATTATGTTTGTAAAGCATTTCAAAATGTTAAATGCTATAAAAGTGCTAAGTAAGTATTAAATGAGGAGTAATGGTCAACCAACTAAAAATAACAAGACTCTAAATTTAGACAGGTCTCCTAGTGACATCATAAACCCAAAAAGTGAAGCCAGAGTGACAGGTACAATTATAATTTTATGTATCATTTTGGTTTATTTTATTGATTAAATCACCTTTATGCTTGATTTTTCCATTAATTACTGTGGACAGGCAAATCTTGGTTTTTCAGTTCAAAGTCTTTTAAAGAGATTCACTTCTAACAAGAAGTAATGACACTAGTAATGGGGCACAATATGTGAATCATACAATAAATATGCAGTAATAAAAATGTTAAGAATAACCAACTTTAGTACTGGTGTAGCACTCTTCGTCTTCAAAGTGCTTTACAAATATTAATGTTTGCTACATATGTTCACCTAAGGTTATAGAAAAGGTGCAGTTTAAGCATGAATCAAACTTTTTTATACATTCTTTGCAGAAGAGCTCGTTTAGAAAAATTGCAATTGTTTTCTGTTTTATTGCTTTATTAGACAACTAGTATACCACATTGCCCTGTGCTGTATGATCATGTAATGAAAGACGCTTTTGAAACAGTACATATGCATGCACAAAGAACCATAGTCAAAGTTGCTTTGAACATTTTAGCTCTGAATTTCCTTACATATGTGCAATTCAAGTCACAATCTTAACATTGTAGACATTTGCGTTGAACATATGATATGTACTGGTATGTCCATAGGATTTAGAAGATTTAAGAACTGTCTATGCCATGTGCAAATCACTTCATAGAACAACTGAAAGTGCTGGCAAAATATCTGTAACACCATCTTAACACATAGAGAGGTTGTTAATTAACAGATAATAGGTATACAGGATTCTGATTTGGAAAGATTTTGTGGTATGATGTAGGTTCTTAGAGGATAGGCCAGAATCTGAGGTATAAATTGAAAGTGTTTAGTTATGAGTAACTTGTAATTTAAATGATTCCAAGATAGAACCTTAATTACTGGAGCTTATGTAGTGTTTATCATGAAGAAAGATCCCCAATCACTTTACAAACTGACTTCTAAATATAGCAGCCCTTTCCTGCAATAGCCCCTAAATCTCACTGAAGTCAATGGGAAGTGAAATGAGTTGGCCTTGGTCACACACCAAATCAGTGGCAAAGCAGGGAACAGAAACTGAGTAATTGTGATTCCCCAACCAGTACTCCATGTTAATGCAGTCAGGTTTGACAAAATACTGCAAATGTATGGCAGGTTGAATTTGTGATGTGGTATCTAAAGGGAGCAGGATATAATCTAGACGTGAACCTTTCAAGTAACAG